ACAGCTCGTAATCATATTGGAAATATTAAACCAATTATGATTATGAGTGTAGATAGTCTTGAACCAAAAGATTATACACGTTTTCCAAAGACACTTATGTCAGCAATTAATAAATTTAAAACATATAATTTAGATGCATTATTTATTATAACACAAGCACCAGGTCAAACAGCATTTAATGTTGTTGAACGACGTTTAGCAACATTATCACAAGATTTAACTGGTTTAGTTTTACCACATGATTATTTTGGTACACATTTAAATGTTAGTGGTTTAACAGTTGATGCTGAAATGGAAAAACAAAATTTTAAAGCAACCGGTGAAGTTCTTGCTGAAGTTTGGAGTATGGATTTGATTGATCATCATCCAGTTGTAGCACAATATATTGATCCACCAACATCAATTGATGATATGATTATATTAATTGATACACAATCTACTATAGATATGATTATTGATGAGTAAGATTTTTTAGATTAATTAAATTTGAAAAACGATTCTTTTTTGTTTTTTTCTTTTAAATATTAGAATTTGTGATGAAGAAGAAGAAATTTCACTTCATCTACGTATTAAACAAACGCGATCAATTCCATATCCAAATTTAACTACAGATACAAAACCAAAACCAATTTATAATATTGATGAGTATATATCGATTTAATTTGTATATTTTATTTTTAACTATTATTATTATTTAAGATATTGGTGTGCAACACATGTTTTTCAAACTCAATATACAATACAAATAATTCGTTGTACGAAAACTGAATGTTGTGGTCCATGGCGTTCAAATTATATTCAAGTATTTCCTCATCGTTTTCTTCCACCACCTGTACCATTTGATCGTTCATCAGCTGGTGTTCGATTAGCTGAACTTGAATCATCATATGCTAATATAAATTCTCTATCACCATATTATGGTACATTATTTCAACGTATACAATTTCATGGTATTGTTATATATGGTACAAATAATTCACTTTTACCATTTGATTCATATTGTCCATCAATACAAACAAAAATTCATTCACGTGTATGTTCAATTTGTAAACAATATATTCCATCACCAACTCGTTTACGTAATCATTATAAAGTTCATCAACAACGTTATGCATCAAATTGTATTGATTATAAATTTAATAAAGATGAAGAATTAATTGATGAACCTGATCCAATTGATCCAAATGAAATGCCATTATATCAAATAAATCCATCTCATAGTGGTGTTTTTCTTTTTTCGGATATGATTGAATGGTTAAAATC